GCTGAAAACTGCGGTTTTCTGGAAACCTAACTTGCAAGCATTTTGGAAAAAACTTTCTAGAGACAAAAAGAAAGAGCACGTCGAGAAACCCTTACAAACCAAGAGACAGCTCAATATGTTCAGCCGTTATCAAGATGATTTTCTCATGCAACACGCCTATTGAATAGATAAAAACTAAGCAAGATATATCAAACGAACTCCATATGCTCCTAAACTAAATATAGATTTCTATTAAAAACATTAGCGAACTCTACATGTTTGAATTATTCTAAATAAAACAGCTGTTAACATTCATCTCAGTAAATACTATGAAACAATAAAAACAGATTATTTCAATTTTCAGATTTCTTTTGTCAGAAATGATTTTTAATAAATGAAATATAAAAAACTCTGACGTCTTAAATGGTCTGTAGTCTGAATAAAAGTTAATAATTAAGTAAAATTTAATTCAATAAGCTTTGACTTTTCCATTGTATCTCCAACACTCTGGGGATATCTCTCAGCATCTATGGATGAACAAATCAATTGACGGTAAGTATCACTCTTCGGTATATGAATCTGAATGCATGGGCGGATATGATGATATCATATTTAAGTTTCTCTCCGTTCCCCTGTCGCAAAACCAGAATGTATATAAACAAATACGTAAAAAGACTTCGTAAGTTTTCTGTGGTTCTGCTTTCTATCTGAACTAAGGTCTCCTTTTTTTTCTTAAAATTCAGTTCGAAATCCTTGATCACATTGTGTGATACATGTTGAAATGTTGCTGGATGAGTCGGTCTGAGTGTACTCGTGGAACCGTACAGATATGATTGTGTTGTTTAAGTAGAAGAAAGGATAGAATATTCACACGAACATCTTCAAACTGGATTCAGTCTTTAAATATTTCTTCACATAAATAGTGAAATGACTTTTCGAGTATTTATTGTAATAGCCAAACATTAATAATAAAGCTAAACTCTCTCCAGTTTGAACAATAGTGATGAATAACAGTAGAAATTTTCTTCTGAAAACAAACAAGCATGAAACTCTTCTCCAATATAAAGCAAAATCATTAATAAAAAAAGTACATTAGTCTTTCTCAGTTGCAATCATAATTTAGCACATGAGTTTTTTGTTACTTTGACATCCTATAGTAGAAATATCCACGAATATCTTAAATAATCTTAGCTTTACCATGGGGTTGCGAGATGTGAGTATGAGTGTTTAGTTCAAATACGCTCACACCCATTCACTATTACTTTGACTCATAACAATGTCTATTCTGTAGTAAACATATTCAAAAGCATAGTCAAAGAAATCTTGCAGAAGTATCAAGTATCGACTGAAGATTTAGATTACAATGAAGTTAGCGATAGTCTTTACAATCAAAAGCTGGAAGCATTAAAACAAATAGAAGAACTGATGTTAGAAAACAATTACAAGTCCTTTTATAAAGAATTCATCGAACATCCTGAGATAAATGATATTTGGAGAACAATGAAATGCTCAATGGAGACAACAGACGAAGGCAATGTTTTTAATAAATTTAAAATTGAATTAAGATTATTATGGGCGGAATGCCAAGTCGATAATGAATTGGATTTTGACCGTGTGGCTCAACAGTTATTCGATGATGATTTGAAAGTTTTAGAAGAAATAAAAGAAAATGCATTAGAGGATAAGTTTTTGTATTTTCAACATGAACTTCTAGAAAGTGAAAGATTTAAAGAAATTTGGAAGGCTAAAAATCTGCCAAAATCAAATCATACTGATCGTGCTTTTATCGAATTCAAGACGGTGATAATGAAAATATTTGAAACAGAAAATATTAAACCAAATACAGTGGATCTTGACTTACTTATGCAACAACTGTATCAAAATGAAGATCAGAACATCGCTGATCTTTTCAAAAATATTCTGATTCCTAAAAAGATTAAACAGCTTATCACGAAAATTCAATCAAATGAAGCGTTGAAGACTATTTGGCCATCAAATATGTTAATTTTTGGTGATATTAAAAGTATATTTAAAAAGTATATTAACTTTGGCGATAGCAATGAGGATGAAATTAAAAAAATTATTTCTGAGTTGTATGTCAATGCTGATAATGGAATGAAGCTAATCGAAGATAAATGTTCATCAGAAAAGTTCAGCAAAATTAAATCGGAACTTTATGGAAATGCAGAGATTAGAAGTAAAATATTTCATGAAAAGAATCTTATTAAATTACCGAATATTGATAATAAAAACAACGTGGTAATGTTATCATCTACTACAGTTCATTCGGCACATGAGAATGAACAAAATAAGAAATTTGAAACTATCAGAGAACTTCAAGAGATAATGTTTGGTAGAGAAGATAATTATCCAGATCAATTATTTACAGAAATACTACCACTAAATTATCATAGTTTAGGAGAAACTATTAAAAACAGCCTTAACAAAATGTCAATGCTAGACATGATGTTACCGTATGTGTTAAATAAATTGAAGAAAGGTATTGCTTTATCAGAAATTTGCGAATTAGAAATATTCTGGGATGAAGTATCACCATTATTTGGAATGGATTATAAAACCATATTTATATGCATGATTGAACGATATAAACGTTATCAACTTGATATTGTCGCTTTGATAAAAAAGCTTGGTATTGCTTTACCATTTGCCTACAGATGGGTTGTTAATCAGAAATTAATTTTCAAGATTCCTCTTCGAGCTTATTCATATTCTTTAGATATCGATTGTCCTATGGTAATTTCATTAGGTTCTGGTTGCATCGGTAAAAGCACACTATTAAACAAGATTTATAGTGCACAATTCATTACAAACAGAGCTGGGAAAATCACTGGTGGAATTGATGTCATATTTTCAACACCAGAATTTGCATGTGGTTTTACCATATTTGATATTCATGATGATGCATACGAGCAAGAGGCTCTTCTAGAAGTATTTTTTAAAATGATCCCGATTGAAAACTGTTGGATACTTCTTCAAAGTACATCAGCTGATGAAAAGAATAAGATAATTGAAAAGTTGAAATTGTTTGGTACAACAAATGGTCAAATTATTTGGATTGTTAGAGATTGTAAAGAATCAACATATCAGTCAACACAAACATTAAAAGACAATAGTCAAATTCAGGTTTTATCCATTCGTAAGATTGAAGAGAATAATCCTCAATTCAATGCAAATTTGGCAGTTTTAAGAGAAAAACTGTTCAAATCAACTGGTATTGGTCATAACTCTAGAAAGCCAAATGAGATTAACTTACGAAAAGAAAGCGATAATCTTTATCGTGAAATCGAAACCCGTCTAGGTCAACAACAACTCCCTGGCATTCATATTGATATGCAAGATGAGTCTGTAGGAAAATGCTCTATTTGGACTGATGAGTATTTAAGAAGTACCGACGGTATTATGGATAATCTGCAAGCACATTTATTTAAACACGTTGAATTCAATAAATTAATACAAGCTGAAGAAAAAAAGAAGGCTGGACTTTCGGGCACAGATTCTCAAACGAAACAAACTGAAATTACAAAAATCGACCAGGCAAAAATTCACTTTTCTGACAAGAAAGCATCAACCAAACCAAGCACATTAGTATGCCAATACAATAAATATTTTATTAACAAAGATTTCTATTTGATCACTGAATTAGACAAACGAGTCAGTGCTTGGCAAAGCCCTATTTTATCGCCATTGTTTCAAAAAAGAAATGAACTTGTGAAAGAATTAGAAGTTTGTAGAACATCGATTGCTGATTGCCAAACAAAAAATAATAATTCTCTAGAGCTACAAGTACAGCAAAACAAACAATCCGATTTAGAAAAAGAAAAGCAACACATCTCAAACTTAATTGATGATAAAATAATCAACAGAGATATCTTTATGAGAGAACTACTTGCTATTTATGGTGACGAAGACTTCTTAAGAAACGCAAATTCTAATCGAAATTTGAGCAAGAAAGATTTTGACAAAAACCAGTATATCAGTTCATTTGTTGATTACATGATGAAGGGCAATGAAATCGAAATCATTGACGGTGATAACAATAGTTTTAATTACAATATTGTCTCAGAAATTTTTGGAAGATTAGAAGCAACATATAAAGAAGCCAATAAAGAACCACCATTTGTTGTTTCAGTAATTGGACCACAAAGTACGGGCAAATCAACTCTCTTAAACATGTTGTTTGGCAGCAATTTTCAAACAAGTGCCGGGCGTTGCACAAAAGGTTTATACGCATCAATTTTTCAAACAGGATATCCAAATGCAAGAACACTTCTTGTGCTTGATACCGAAGGTCTTCTGTCAATCGAAAAAGCAAATGAGGAATACGACAAAAAACTAACTCTATTTTCTATGGCATCCTCGCAAGTAATGCTTATCAATTTAAATGGAGAAATTAATTCCGCAATGAAGAAAATTCTTACAATCAGTCTTTTTGTAGCGAATCAGGTAAAAATATTTACTACACGTCCAATTATTATATTTATTCTGAGAAATATGATGGATTTAAATGTTAATAAACAACGAGAAATGATTGATACTGTCAAAAAAGAATTAAAAGAAGTCAGTGAATTGAGTAAGCTCACGTTGAGCCAAGTACTAGATTTCAAGGAAGAAAAGGCATTTTTCTTAATGCTTTCGGCTTTTTACAAAGATTTTGTATACAATAAAAGTGAAGAACTTTTTCAAAAATCAACAACAAACACAAAATTTGCTAAGCTAAGCCAAGAATTAACCGAAAGAATATTTTCTGAAGCCAAAGCACCGGATCCAAGGTTCAAAAGTCTTAGTGATTGGGTTAAACAAGCATCGGAAATTTGGAAAACAATTGACTTATATAATGATATAATTATGATTGAATCGATTAAAGAAATCAATGAAAGGAAAGAACTTAGTGATATTGTTACTAAAATCATGGAAACGCTCATTGAACCTAGCGATGAACAGACAAGTTATCGTTCAAAACTCGAAACAATACTGACTCAACAAGAAAAGCTTATTAATAATTCATCACCTGTTGATTCAGATGTTGAACAGCGATTTGAAAATGAGACTAAAATATTTCAAGAAAAAGTTAAAAATAATTTCGAAAACCAAATTAAATCAAAATCGTATGCAGTAAAATTAACGAATGAATACAAGGATAGACTTTTATCTGCTATCACAACAAGTAAAACGCAAGCACTTCAAAAGTTTAAAGCAATTGCAGAAAAAGGTAAACTAAAATATAAAATTGATGTCGCTCTATCGCAATTGCAAAACCGTAGCGAAAAACAAATTCTTGACTGGCAAAAAGCTGAACAAAATACCTCTACTGAGCACAAAACACATCTAAAAATAAAAATAATTAAAGAATTTGAAGAAGTAATGAAAAAGACTATTTCTGATACAGTAAAAGAAATGAATACAAGTAAAAAGACTCACGAACAATGGGAAAATTTCGTTATGGAACAGATCAAATCAGCACATGGAACAATACCGGTAGAAAAGAAATTTTTCAGTATAGCTACTCTCGACCAAAAATCATCAGGACAACCACTATCGGAAAATATCATCAAAATTGTTACAAATATAGACCGACCTAATTATCAGGATTATGCCTTAGAAAAAATATCCCAACTTGTTCAAAGAAAAAAAAAACATTCACAAATAAATCGCAACGTTTCCATGGAGGGTATTACTACTTCAACGGAAAACACAATCTACATCGAAAAACAGTCTAATTACGTAAAAAGGAAATGGACTGAAGCTACTTCGTGGATATCAAGTAAATTTCATAGATCAGGTCGAACTTCACAAAATACACGACAGAACCATGGATCGTTTCATTCAAACGACAGGATTATCAATCAGATATGCGAAGCTGGTATAAGTTCAGAAGGAACAGTTCTTAGCCATACGATGTTTCTTGAAATGGAAGAATATCTTCGCACAAATATTCAAGAAGAAATACTGAGAAGTGCCGAATATCAAATAACAGGCTTAAAACAAAATATTTTACAAATTGAAGCGAAAATGAGTGAACTGAATCAAAAATATTTAGATGAAGAAGAATTGGAATTCACACACACGTTTGGAAACGAACTAATTGAATGGTTGTATGATATTATTGTCGATAAAATGTTCAAAGACGAACAAAATACATACGAAAAAATGGAGGCAGAGTTCAAACAAGATGTCGATAAATTGTTAACAGAGCTTAAAGAAAGACTGGACGCTGCTTTTGGAGATGCAGAGAATGCAACGGATATGGCTAAGAAAATATACGATAATATTAAAAAAATTTGTTTCTCTACAGTTGAAATCGAATATAAACAAAATTTAGAAGACGTGACATATCTCAATGCTTATAAACTAGTTGAACTATCAAACAAAGTTTTCTATGAAACAGATGGAAATTTTGATAGCGATGGTATCTATCAATATATCACAAATATGATTGATTACATGAAAAAAGTCTACACACAACATTTTGAAGATAAAGCTGCAGAAGTAGAAAAGACATATGACAGAAAATACTCAGAAAAATACGAACTTCAATTTCAAAACATGATCAGTAAATTGGAAAGTTTAGAACAGATTTTTGGTAATTATGAATTGAATCAATCTCATATTAAACATCACAAAGAAGAATTCACTAATTTTTTTAAGAGTTATATAGAAGGTAACATCGATAATAAGTTAATAGATAGTTATTTGACGAATTCATTGAAGCTGAATTATTGTCACTCGAATAAAGAGTTATTGGAATCAAGTAGAATATTTCAACAGATATCTATTTCAATCTATTCAATAACCAATCCAAGGGTATTTTTGGAATCTTTTAAAGGAACTATTAGGTCTCTCCTTCCAAAGGACAACAAAAATAATCTTAAATTCAACTTAACTGCTGATGTTCTAAAAGAAAAGGATAAAATCAAAGCTGCAAACCAACAGAAAGCTTTAGGATGCATTGAACAATGCCCTTATTGTGGATGTAAATGCACAGAAATCGTCAACAGCCACGATGCACATCATTCTAATAATCATCGGCTAATGGCATTCAATGGATCATTTGAAAAAACTACAAATGGTAAAAAAGGCTTTGTTTTTGATTTGTGTAACAGTGAAAATACAATAAAACATAGTCGATGGAAAGAAAATTCACAAAGTCAATTGACAATTCGTGATAGTAAAGTAATAAGAGAAAGAATGAATGAATATTCTGTTGGCGAAGGAGATGTGACAATAACATTGGCTTGGTTCGACAGCAATGATTTAGATTTACATGTAACTTGTCCCTGTGGAACTGAACTGTATTTTAGAAACCCAAAGTGTCATGATTGTGGAGGATATCTAGACTTGGATATGAATGTTTGCTTTCATGATGGTTCGTGTCCTGATAAAAAGTGCTCATCCACTAAACCAGCAGAAAATGTATTCTTCAAACCAGCTAAAAAAGGCGTATACCAGGTATCTGTGAATTACTTTAGTGGTCCTAAAGGCAAAGCTGGTAGATCTTCGAAATTTCAAGTCAGAATACAAACTCATGCAAATAATAACATTCAAACATTTGAAGGTTGTGTTGAAGCTGATGGTGAAAGATGCCATGTTAAAGTGGGGGATTATGAACATAGCGACAGTATTAATTTTCTTGAACATGTCAAAAAGAACTTCCCGTCTTGGAGCAATATTCAACCGGTTAATGATCATAAATGGGAAACTGTATTGAAGAAAGCTTGGTGGCAAGTGGCTTCGAAAATGAGCCAATTCTATGGATATGAAAATAATACACCAAACGAGTTCAATAATCTTCAATACAAATAATTATAATTTTTCCGAACACTTTTTTCATATATTAACCTAATCGAGATATTAATCTTGAATTGATTTTTTTCGAAAATAAATACGTATATTTCTAAAATTAATTGAATTAAGTTTTATGCGACGTTTGTTGGAGCGAAAACCTTGGTTGGGT